ATGCAACTGTTTTGAAAAATGTAAGGCCCCTTGGCAAGTGAGGGGTCCATTAATTTGAGCTTAGGAAAGTGGCAATCTCAGTTTTTTTCAGTTTCAACCAAAGCGGGAAAGCTTAGAGAACCTATTTTGAAAGCAAACTTAATTTTTGCTTTAACGTTTGCTTCACTGCAACCATTTAATTTCATTAGCTATAGGGATGTATCATTATCATGTTACTTACAAATTTGGTGATAATTTGCAGCATGGGGCCTCTCCCCACGCTTTTTGTTTTAGATTAGCTTGTAGGTCCTAGGTATGTTTAGAATTAGTTTCGTTTTAAGTCTAGATTTAATAGTTTTAACATTGTACCTCCTTTACTAGATTGTAATGCAAATATTTAGCCTTAGTACTCCCTAATATAGGTATTTAATAACTTTAATTTTAACTATAGCGATAAGAAAGATATACTGCCGAACACGCCGCGAACCTTTTATTAAAAATAAATTTTCTTCCTCGTTTCCCTGTCGCTGCCGTTGACAGCTCGAGCCACCAGCGTGGACGTCTGTCAATCTCATTACTACGGGGCTTTTACAGCCGCCGCGTTCCTTTTGGAAACGTCGGTTGACAGGGTGGCCAGCTCATCGAATCCTGCATCGTGAGTCTCCCCCGGGTGTAGTCCGGAGTTCTCCAGAACTTCGCGTTTCTCCTTCACATCGAGTAGCACCAGCCTTGTCACCGCCAATCTTTACCACTGCTCTTCGCTTCTTGCCATCCGGATTCGGGATCATATGGATGATTCATCCTCGCTCCCATCCATTCCGCTTCGTTGGCTCCCCCACCATTACCAGATCTCCAGGTTCGAGTGCACTGGTTTCATCAAACCATTTTGTTTGTCGACGGATCACCGGCAGGTACTCTATCAACCAGCGCTTCCAGAATGCCTCCAGTTGGCGTTGAATCAGATCCCATGATCTACCTAGGATTTGCCGACGGACTAGCTTTGGCGACTGTCCCCGAACTACCGCTTCGCCTCGTTCGCTGATTCTCATCACCCCATTCGAACTCAGCAGCAAAAGATGATTCGGTGTGAGTGCCTCTACCTCCTCGGACTCGAGTGGAAAATACGTCAGAGGCCTTGAGTTTACAATATTGTCAGCCTCCACGAACAGTTTTTGCAGCCCCTCATCATCTAGCTTCCCCTCGGAGTACGCTTTTACCATCGCTGTATTTAAGGACTAAACCAAACGTTCCCAAGCTCCCCCCATGTGTGGTGCTCCCGGTGGTATGAAGCTCCAATTTGTGTTCGTACCGGTGAATGTTGTGGACAGTCCCTGGCTTATTTGGTGCTGCAGTACTCAGTCCGCCCCTTTGAAATTCGTTCCGTTGTCGCTGAAGAACTCAGCTGGTAGCCCACGAATCTGCGAACGCAAGAAATGGACAGCGCGCTTGGATCTTCCCAGCTTCACTAGCAGCGGTCCAAAATAGTCCACTCCAGTATAAGTGAATGGTCGTTCGTGGTGGGCTAGACGCCATTTTGGCGTCAAGTAACAATTTTGGTTATACAAGGGTTTTGTAGACCATGATTTAGACTTGATTTAAAACCAGTATAAAACTTACAATGTTACTTGGGCGTACAGCCGGAAGTGGTGCCATCGGCGGAACCGTTGGTCGTGCTCGACTAATCTTGCAGAAGGCGCAATCGCGTTTCACTTTTTTGACCACCAATCGAAGTCTTGGGATTGTGTATAGCTGGTGGACCTCGTTGACTACCGTTTCGTCGTTTCCATGGTGATAAGAGCGATGGTATCGGCTCACCAAGAGTTCTGTGACGTGATGCTTCCTCGGGAGGACCACCGGATGTCGCACGCCATAGGTTACGCTTTCAGCTATCTCGATCCGACCATAGAGGTAACTCTAAGACCAGAAGGTCCCGAAGAAACGAGCTCAACTTTTTGGCTCAGCTCTAATACTATCTTCGGTCCCAAGCTTATCGATGCACCCCTCGAAACATAGGAAAATCCACGAACCCTCATTTTATCTGTCAAACTTTCATAGCGAATCAAAACAAACATAGTGTAGCACTGGAATTTATACTAGAATGTGGTACGTTATTCGATTTGCTTAGGACCAATAGGCTAGTCAAGCTAATCGTCATCGGAGATCTTAACGCTCAGGTCGGCCTGGAGGAGGAATTCAGACCGGTTATAGGAAAGTTCAGCGCTCACCAGCTAATGAACGCCAACGGCCTTAGACTCATCGATTTCGCCGCCTCTAAGTAACTAAGTACAGCAGACATAATCGCAAATCGAACACGTTTTGATCGACGGAAGACGCATATATCGATTCGGACCACTACTTTCTAATGGTCAAGGTGCGCCAAAAACGTTCCGTTGCCAACAACATTCAGGCCGACGCCCGCCACGGTACAATCTAGAGCGACTGTGCAAGCGAAGACAGCAAACCCATATTTTCCGGGATAAGAAGCGCCGCCTGGAAGAGCTGGAGTGCGAAGAAATGGAGCAGCTGTATCGTTCTCAAGAAACACGCAAGTTCTACAAGAAACTTAACGCATCCCGCCAAGGCTTTGTGCCGCGAGCCAAAATGTGTCGGGATAAGGATGGTGGTATCTTAACGGATGAACGTGAGGTGATTGAAAGATGGAAGCAGCACTATGCTCAACATCTGAACGGTGCAGAGGCGGAAGACCAAGGCGGCAGGAGGAATGGCTTCGTCGGTATAGCGGATGAGGGGAACATGCCAGCTCCCACGATAGGTGAAGTAAAGGATGCTATCCGACAGCTTAAGAACAACAAAGCAGCTGGGAAAGATGGTATCGGAGCGGAGCTTATCAAAATGGGCCCGGTTAGGTTGGCTACTTGTCTGCACCGACAGATATTCAGGATCTGGGATACAGAACAGCTACCGGAGGAGTGGAAAGAGAAAGTAATATGCCCAGTATATAACAAAGGCGACAAACTAGAATGTGAGAGCTATCGAGCGATCACTATTCTTAACGCGGCCTACAAAGTGCTTTCCCAGATCATCTTATCGTTGCTAGCAAGCAGATTTGTGGGAATTCGGTTAAGCCGGTTTTGTGGACGGGCGATCGACAACGGATCAAATCTTTACGTTGCGGCAGATCCTCCAAAAGTGTCGTGAATATCAAGTCCCTACGCACCACCTATTCATCGATTTCAAGAGCTATAGAAGATTATGGACGAGAACGATTTTCCCGGGAAGCTGACCAGACTTATCAGGGCTACGATGGATGGTGTACATTGCTGCGGAAAGATATCGGATGCGTTATCGGACTCGTTTGAAGCTCGCAAAGGACTTAGACAAGGCGATGGTCTTTCCTGCCTTCTGTTCAACATTGCGCTAGAAGGTGTTATGAAACGTGCGGGCTTTAACATGCGGGGCACGATCTTCAATAAGTCCAGCCAGTTCATCTTCTTCACTGACGACGTGGAAATTGTCGGAAGAACGTTTCAGGCCGTGGCGAAGCACCAGGCTGAAACGTGAAGCAGAGAAGGTTGGATTAAAGGTGAATACGCCGAAAACAAAGTATCTGTTAGCTGGAGGAACCGAGCTGGATAGGGCTCGCATAGGCAGATAGCGTGACAATCGACGGAGATGAGTTCAAGGTGGTGGATGAATTTGTGTACCTCAGATCATTGGTGACGTCGGATGACAACTGCAGCAGAAAAATTCGTCAGTGTATTATTGCCGGAAGTCGTGCTTACTACGGACACCACAAGACCCTGAGGTCGTTCAAACTTCACCTCCGTACTAAATGTACCATGTACAAGACGCTGATAAGACCGGTAGTTCTCTACGGGCACGAGACGTGGACAATGCTCGAGGAGGACCTGCAAGCACTGGGTGTTTTCGAACGACGAGTGCTTAGGAACATCTTTGGCGCGGTATGTGAGAACGGTGTATGGAGGCGAAGGATGAACCACGAGCTGGCGCAGCTCTATGCCGAACCCTGTATCCAGAAAGTTGCGAAAGCTGTACGGGTACGATGGGCGGGACACGTTTTAAGAATGCCGGAGAACAATCCCGCAAAAATGGTGTTAACCTCGAATCCAGCCGGTACAAGACGAAGAGGAGCACAGCGAGCAAGGTGGTTAGACCAAGTGGAGCAGGATCTTGGAAGTGTGGGACGGTCAAGAAATTGGAGACAAGCAGCCACGGACCGAGTGAATTGGTGTAACATTGTGATGCAGGTGCAATCCTGAGGGATGTCGAACCAGGATAAGTTAGTAAGTAAGTAAGTAGTCAGTTCCATAACATTTATAATATATGAAACACAGCAAAAAATTAATTTTAATATCACATCAAAGTGGATCCACTTCAATCGTGTCGAAAATTTGGTGTAATATTACTTCCCAAAAAGGGCAAAATTATCGTTAATACAGTGCATGAGCTGACATTACGTTGATTTTACTGCATTTGTTTAATACAGAACAGCTGTTGTTAATATATATCAACTATGTTATCAATAAACCATTCACCGTCCATACGAATCACTATAACTATTCAACTACATTCCAATGAATATAATTTGCATCATTACACTTCTTTGACACCTCGTGCTTCGTTTCTCTCTGTTTCTTTAATCGAGTTTGTTTATCACACTATACTCGAACATATGATTTTCCCCTCGATTTTCCAGCCACGTTCCACGCATGCCCATCCAGAGGTTCATCTCTCACAATTTCAATGCCACACCAACGTGCAGCACACACCTCCACTCATTCATAACAAACCGGCATCGCTCGCTGCTGCGATTCGAAAACAGACCGTTGTGGTTGTTTTCCCACTGCGTTCTCTCTCAACTCTCTCATCCCGGACGACCTAGTGGTACACGCATGAGGAAAAGGAAAAACTTGTTGTCATTCTTGAAAGCATCATCACCATCATCGCCATCATCGTTGATCGAACGGAAAACAGAGACCGACGGGGACCAAAACGCAATCAACCTATCCTTTCGAGCGGCAGTCGTCGAGCGCGTTTCGAGTCGGTTGCATGCCACCACGTGGGTCTCCGAACGGATAGATACCTTACTCCGGGGATATTCGTGTAAACATTACGTTAATCTTGTTGTGAGTGAAACGAAGCGATGCATTTGCTACGAAAAGCATCTTTCAACGACCGCAGCGGGGGGATGCAAACAGTTGCAAGTGCAAGCGAGTGCATCTAAACGGAAGCAAGCGTGTAACTAAACACGGCATTCGGGGTGTGTGTGAGTGTGTGCTTGTTGCTGCTGATGATGAAGAGCCTGCTACGTGCAACGCTTAGGAATGAGGAAAATGCAGTTAGCACTACTATAGTGTTGTGGTGGCTTAGCGAGTAGACGAGTGAGCCGGACGTCTGGGAAAACGGGAGGCAGTGGAGAAAAGAAAAATACAACCCGTAGTCCTAGTTGTGGGAGGAAATACTTGTCCACTAAAAGTGACATTTATGTTCCATATAACGTGTGGATAATGATTTAAGTGCTTGTGGCAAGGGCTCATTACGTGGCACTTGAGAGGATCCAGAAATAGGAATAATGTGCAAGGTGGTGTGAAGTGCGAAAGGAAAAAAGTCAAGCAGAAGCAAGCATTTTTCCGTGACAAATGTGCTGAAGTGTGACTGAGTGATACTGGTACGAATTAGTCACCAGGGGATTTGTTGGGTTTTGGATACGGAACTACGCTGCATGCTAGTGGTGTAGTAGCTGCTAGAGTGTTATAGTGGTGATTACGTTTGATGAGGATATATGCCAGCAGCAAGGTAATAATAGATACTGATCTGCCATCGTTTTGTCTAGTTCTGTGCTTAAAGGAGACCTATGAGGTAGGTTTGCCTGATTTGTGGATGTTTCAATTTAAAATGAGTTGTGTCAGGGCTTATTTGCGTTTGCGTCGCTGTATAACAGTGAATTATGGTGTTTTAATATGATTATTAATTAATTTATGGAAATCACGGAATACCTACATTTAGTAAATAAATTGCAAAATATGGAAGCGGTGCTTGGATCAGTGGTAACTTGAGGGTTGTCGCTTTAGTTTGCAAAATAGTTAGAAATTATGCATATGCATATTTATTATATATAATAAATTAGAATATTTAATTAAATTAACATACATGAAAAGACTTTCTGCCATAGGTACGTTCGATTCAGGAAAGCATTTATATGAATATCTTAGAAGATTTCGGGCTTTAACATTGATTAGGCTCAAAGGTCTTTTAAAAAATCTCAAATTAAATGCTAGATAAATTACGTTTTCAGTAAAGATTCATGATATATTGTTTTCAACGTTGTTGAAAAATGTAAACAACTGTAATCCAAAATTAAAATTAAGATTCCTGATTTCAATGTAAATGGGGACCATCTTAATCAGCTTTCCTCAAAAAGAAGCACCATAAAAATTTTAACAACTTTAACAAAATTCCAACCACCTTAAAATAATAGTGTTTGTTTTCGGTTAAATTGCTTATACGGACCACAAGTAAGAGTAGAATTTAATGAAGGCATAAGCGCTTTTTCGTAGCTTTTTTGTCTCCAGGTTTAAAAGATCATCGGTAGTAGAGGCTTCTTCTTGTGTACAGGGCACCACCATGAATATTGAGTTTGAATAAATTCCAGGTCCTATTATATTATTATTATATATTCAATGATAAATATTTAAAACAGGATCAAAACCCAACTGGAAGAAGCAAAGTAACATTGTTTGATTTTTTCTAATGTATGTTTAACGTTTAAAGTGCAATTAACCATTCTATTTTTCCTTTCCAGGAGAGAAAATTATATTAATTATTTATATATTTATTTGTATACTAGTAAATTCTTATTTAATCAGATTCGGAATATGAGTGATGAGGGAGCTTATTGTGTTCACGAGTCCTCCGCTTAGGCTGGATTTATTGATTTAAATCTATATGTTTATTTTCAGCTCTTCGATGATGGCACATTTTTAGATTAATTTTATAATGATTCACTTTTATCAGCCTTCGTTCAGGAAAATACAAAATACAAAAATGAATGATTACAATAGCATGAAAACTGTTAACTGTCCAAATAATAACCTCGATTTTTCTGACTATTGATTTATTTTTAAAGTTTACCAATATTTTTAAAAGCATTCCATATTGCGTTAAACCATTCCATGGTGCATAATAAAGTGTTTGTTTCAATTCCAATAAAATATCAAAAGTTGAAATCAGTTAAATGTACTGAGGTTAACTAAAATCGAGCTTATTTGTATTTTGTAATACTTAATTATTTTACATTCATTATATTTTAACTGTAGACTTTTTTTTTAACTAGTTCGTTTATTTACTAGGCTCAGTCGTGTGTGACACTTTGCGGAGCCAAAATCAGTAATGTTTGATTTACATTTTAACTGGCAGTATTTCTAAGTTAGTATTGGGTACCAATTACTCGTGGCGGGCTCGAGGTTAATAGGTAACAATTTCAATTGGAAGGATCTAGGTAGGAAACTGGTTTCTGAAGCCTCCTTCAGATACTACTCTCGGACGGTTGACCAAATCCTGGCTGGGCAGGGGCAAGTAGCACAGGAACAGGAGGATAATAAGACTGGGACACAATGGCGGGAAATTGTTTGGAAAGGAGGGGATAGTCACATCAAACTCTAACATCAGACAAACAAAGGAATTCGTAGATCGCTTGCATGTAGGGAAGATCACGTGTTCCCAATACATCTCTTACTTCACGGAAGGGTTGTCTACCTCGGGCCACTAGGGTATCCAATAGTCGTGCTCTGGAGGCGTCATTACCCGGGCAGTACCAAACTGCGTGATCGATGTCATCATAACCGGTTCTGCACCTACATATATTGCTGTCAACGAGGTTTATTCTATAGAGATTTGCGTCTAGCGAGTAGTGGTTGGACATAAGTCTTGACATCACTCGAATGAATCCCCGACTTAGAATGGAGGCGAACCAGCCCCAGGCTGAAAGCCTCCCTAATAAAGATAAATAATAATAATAATAATCCCCGACTTACACCCAGACCTTTGAACCACGCTCTCGAAGATACATTTGGAATAATGGAATGTAACTACCGCCCAAGAGAATTATTTGTCTAATCGTTTTGCCAACTTAAAAGAGAGCTCTGACGTACTAATGGGAAAAATTCATCATGTGAAATTCTTCTATCACAAATCTCGCCTTGTTGTGCGCCCACCTTTGCGAGAGAGTCTGCCTTCTCATTGCCTGGGATTGAGCAATGTGAGGGGACCCATACAAAGGTAATCATATATGATCTTTCGACCAGCAAACTCATCTGTTCCCTTACCTTTGAAAGGAAATAAGATGAGTGCCTACCTTGTTTCATCGACCGAATAGCCTCAATCGAACTGAGACTATCCGAGAAGATGAAGTAATGGTCTATGGGCATATCGGAAATCATCCCCAATGCGAAGTTGATTGCTGCTAGCTCAGCAACATAAACGGAACAAGGTGCTTACCACTACACCACCGGCGCCGCTGCAATGTTAATTGTAGCTTTATTTGTTCCGAAATTATTGATAAAAGAAAGTAGTGTTGCTTTCGGCTACGTGGGGCTTTAGGTAGTGATGAAACGTCGCTAAGGCCTGTACTCAAAAAAAAATGCACCAGACAAAAGTGTTCTCCAAAAATTTATTTTAAGTTGGATTTTCTTGAAACATTCAGGGAATGAACTAATACATATGGATTATGTTTTGGCATAATTACTTTATTCAATTTCCTTTCCATCGCTGAAAGCCCGCACCTTTCCCTTAAGACCCCTGATTTCATTTTGTACAATGGTGGAGCCGACCTTTTTGGTCACTTTCATCCATTCTTTCTACAACTCCAGCTGGTTCTTAAACACTTCATTATGGCCCAAAATCTTTCCACCGGACGAATCTCTGGTGAATTTGGGGGGTTGGAGGTTTTTGGTACAAAAACAACATGATTGTCTCTGTACCAATCCAACGTCGATCGCGCGTAATGGCATGATGCCTGATGCCAGATCCGGCCAAAATAATGTCTCGCCTCCGTGGGACCACAGGAAGGACAACAGACGCTTCTGGAGGCACTCGGTGCGGTAAATTTCGCTGTTGATGGTACCTAGGCTATGACTAGTAAATTATTTTTATTTCACATATTTAAAATCTTATTTTATCATTAGAACTATAATTTTCATTTACAGAAAAAAGTTGTCCTGCAGATCCTGAAGGGCCAGAAGGTGTATCAAATAGCAAATCATTGTTATTTACATTTTATTTCATTATAATATACCCAAAAGGATTACCCAGAGAATAAATTGAATATCATCATACATTAGGCCAATGTTTTAAATTGTTTTACCTTTTCAGAGTTTTGCTATTTCAAGAATTATTCATTGATACTTGTTTTTATAACTCTTGTATACTCAAATAACCTCGATTTTATTAATTATATATCGACGAGATGGATCCGGAATTTTGACGTCTGTGTTTTAAGGAAATACCTGCAATGGGTCGAAGAAAGTCTACGAGGAGGCCAGTTGCTGTTGGTTCAGCTTCACATGATTATTTGAGTGAGATCATTCCTTTTTATTTATTTATACAGTAACCCCTCCCTATCGTTAGGAAGTCAATGCAGCTTATCGTTTACCAAAACTAACCCTGCTGCAAACCCTACCCTCTTATCCAACATCCCAGTGATTCCTCGTGGAAGTGCAGAGGATTTCTCGGCTTCCATCAAAGCGAGTGTCACTTCAACACATTCCTACCCATTCCTTTCTTGACCTGCGTTCAGGCGCGGCCGGCGCTGGTATTGCCTAGTTAGAGATCACCAGTTTTTACACATTGAGGATGATTGCTAGTTCCAAGCATCGTCTATTAGTTCTCTGTGTAAGTACAGCTGATCTGGCAATAACAGAGTAGCAACCGTGGGCGGTCAATCATGCTCATTCTCATGCTCTGTTAAATTGCTTATTCGGACCACAGTACATTGATAAATAGTTTAAACTGGCTACGATCTGAAAGGACTCACTCAACTGAAAAAATATCGAAGACGGAAAACTCCTACACACGCTATCTTGGAAGTCTTCATTAATGAGTAAAATTTTACTTATTTTGAAGAAAAGTAGCTTATCTCATGAAATGAGCACAGCAAAAAAAAAATTTTGATATCACATCAAAGTGGATGCACATTAATCGTGTCAAAAATATTGTTATAACATGCCAAAAAGGACAAAATTATCATTAACGCAGTGCATGGACTGACATTACGCTGCTTTTAGTGCATTTGTTTATTTTTGTGGGCATAAAAATTACATGCGATTTTCGACATGATTGAAGTGCATCCTCTTGGATGTAATATTTAAATTATTTTTTTTGTGTGTGTACTCATTAACTGACATAATCCCAAGCCATCGAAACTTCCTCAAAGTACCAAGGCTGCAAAATGCGTGTCGATTCATATTTGACATAACTGGTTCTCATCAATGCGATGACCCATGGTTATGATTCAACCACCAATCAAAAGATATGGCTATCCTATTTTATTTTGAATAGATAGAAACCCAATTGGACCTGTAGTTGGCCAGCCGGAACGGAAAAACCCGGAAAAGTCCCGAGCAAAAAGCGTGCCAATTCATGTTGACTGGTTCTCGGCAATTTGGTTACCACATCTTAAAATTGAGCCACTACTTGAAAGGTATGACTATCTACTTTCAACGGAACAGACAAGGAACCGATTGGAGTTGTGGGTGGCCAATCGGATCGATAAAACCCGTGAAAGGTGGCTCTGTGAAAAT